AAATTAAAATTAAAAACTTGATCAATGTAAATTAAAATTATTATCTTAATTAATTATTACATTTGACATAAAATTTAAATCTCAAAAATAAAATACTGTAAAAAACAAAAATATAGTAAAAAACAAAAATATATGTACTATAGTTAATATTTTTCAAAAGTTTAGAAGGCACATATCAAAAGAGAAAAAGAACTCCATTAATCAACTTAACGGAATGTTTGTCCAGTAAATCATTTTGAAACAAAATTGATAGTTTATAAATTTTTATAAAAAAATATTTTTAAACTAAACCAAAATAAATTATATAATTAATGGACTATTTATTAAATTTGACCTTTTATAATCTCTCAAACTTTTATTTCTGCAGTTTCTACTATAAAATATAAATTATTGTATAGGACAGAATCCCAAAAATAGAAAACCGACACTTACAATTACTTCTTTCTAAAATTATAAATCTTGTACTAATAAACTACCATTTTTCTTATTGTAACGAGATTTGGATACTGAAAAATATTATTGTTTCATATTTATCATGTTCCCAAGACAATTCCTATTCCTAACTTACTTATAAGGCAATATTTTCTTACCAATAAATCCTACTATTTTGCTGTTTATGTTTTTGTATTTAGTTGGATTAAAATTAATGTTACACGTTCACTTTTAATAATAATAATAATAATAATAATAATAATAATAATGTTACACGTTTGAGGAGGAAAACTCAATAATTTGTAATTGAGGACACCAACTATAATGATTTATAGAAAAGGACAGCATCTATGATCATTTCTCAAATAAAGACACATCTTGTTTAAGATCCTTAGCAACTGTACGTGGTGAATTGCTTGGACTTAAATCTGAACATATTACTAGTTCGAAGATATTAGAGAGTATTGTAATCAAAATTTATTCATTCAGACTGTTTCCTACGTTGTTTCTACTGGAATTATTTATTTATTTTTTTTTTGATCAGCCAGTTTCTACTGGAATTATTGCTACATTAAATATGAGAACCTGACTTTTCTCACAACTGTGGAAGGTTGGGCCATTGTGAGAAATGTGGTGAGGATAGAGTCATGTCCCATAGAGATCCTAGCAAGGAATGTATGGGTACTGGTTGAGAACCACCACAATTGAGGAAATGAGAATGATCCTGGCATTGGGAAATTAGTGATGTTCTGGAAGTTGAGTAAAAGTGTTTGAAATTGCAGTTGGAGTTTTTTTGTGTAGTCGTACAATGTTTTTAGATAAATGTGTTTGATAATTTTTTTTTAGATTATTTTTTTTAAACTATAGAAAATCATAGTAAATTTATAGTAATTTTATATATATAATTAAAAACCT